AGTTTATCTGTTTACTGCCATGCTAAGTGTGTTCCAGGAATTACATTAATCTGAATTAAGAATTAGAATGGCATCACATCACAACTATTATAAATTGTTATTAATGGCATGATTGTACCTGATATATAAGACTCACCAGGAACCCAGAGCCAGAAACTTTGGAAGAGCTTAAAAGTCAGGTCAATTGTCTATGATAATGAAAGCCCAAGGGTAAGGACTTTCAATTATAATACATGATTGAGATCCAAAGTACAAAGTAGAATGGTGGAAAAAATCCATATATATATGAATATATATGAATAAGTATATATATATATATATATATATATATATATATATATATATATATATATATATATTCTTATGTTCCATCATTGCAGTTTTAGAGAATTATCCTGAGCTAAGTTGAAATCAACTCAGGGACCACCATCACTGAGTGGTTGGATGAACCCTGGGAAGACCACTAGACCTCAAACGCTGTGCTGAGTTTCATTGCGCAATCTCTGTCCCTGCCCTGAAGAGACCTATGATTCCTTAACACAACAGATATTGGGCAAGTAAGTATAGATATCTGGAAGTTAAAAAAATACAGAAGTGTTCTTTTAACATAGATTATTCTGGAGGTTGCTTCCTATTTTAGCAAACCGTCCACGTGTCAGTTATGGTGGCCCATTCTAAACTCAAGCTAGCACCAAATTTCTCTGTCACAGAGGTCCTTGATGTTCCTGATGGAGTTCATGGAATTACATACAACAGACTCACTAACAAGAGCGAACCCAGATCATAATTTCTTCCTAGGAGGTAAGTCAGTTTTACTACATGTCAGGTTAGAAACAAATGTCAAAATCTGAGCTATGACAGGATGACATATATAACTCAGTCAATTTGTTCCTTTCCTAAAACTGACATACATGGTTAAAGTATTTTGAATTAATTTTAGTTTTTAGACACTATCAGAATCTATGTGACAATAGCTTTAGTAAAGCTGTAAGAATGGAGTGTTTCATGTTTTTTGAAATGAAGATTAGTACTTGGAGGCTATGAATTAAACCCCTTTAAAAGTAATTCAAGGAAAAACAATCTCTACTTTGAAGATCTTAGAGTCAGCATCTCTCTAAACTCATACCTCTTAATAATAATTTCTACTTTATCTAAGTAGATTGAGACATGGAGTCTCACTTTCGATCTTGTGCTCCCTGCAAAGGCTGCTCAGTGGTCATCCCAGTAGGTCCCCTTTGGCTGAAGATTTGATGAATGGGGAAGGTTGGGTGCCAGATGTAGCATGAATCTTAAAAGTTCTTATTAATGAAATCAAACCCGGGGCCAGTTATTGGGGTGAAATGCTGGATGGTCAGAGAGACAGAACAAGCCACAGCTAACCTCACCTGGCCAACTTCTCAGCTGGTCTTGTTTCCTCAGACCGGAAGCTTCTGTGTCCTCATATCCGAATGGCTCTCAGGTGAATAGTGCTGCTAGAAGCCTGAATGCTTAACCAGCCAAATGCTTCTAGTTTCTGGTCCTCATGCCTTATATACCTTTCTGCTTTCTACCACCACTCCCTGGGATTAAAGGCTGGCTTTCTGGGATTAAAGGCATGAGTCACCATGCTTGGCTGTATCCTTGAACACATGGATTTCTACCTCTGGAATGCTAGGATTAAAGGAGTGTGCTACCACTGCCTAACTAAGTATCTTGTGGCTTTTCTGTTCTCTGACCCCAGATAAGTTTATTAAGGTACACAATATTTTGGGGAACACAGTACCACCACAGTTAGTGAAGTACAGCATACAAGGTAGTCAAATGACAGATGCCAACAGAGAGGAGGATCAAGCAGAGCAGAGAGTGTGTGCAGTGTCCAAATACTGAATTGAACTGACAGCTGTGAAGCTGTGGCCTGAAGTAGGCCCTGCTAGGTCGAGAAAGTAGGAACAACTTGCCTGCCAAATCCAGGACAACTAGCCTTGAGAAGCCTTTCACCTTGGGAAAGTTGGCCCACTAAGTGGAATGGGAGGAAAGTAACTTGTCCCCCCAGAGTCTAGATGATTTTGCTGTAACCGTGATACTTGCAGGGAACCCTGACTCCAGGGAGCATATTTGACCATGTTCACTTCTTGTTACTGTCTCTTCTGAAACCTGTATTCCCCTTCTGCATTGCCAGCTTTTCATAAAGAAAGTTTGATGTGAAAGCATCGTGCTTGCCGAAGTATCTGGTAGCCAGCTATAGTCTCATCTTTTACTGCTATCAGAACCATGGTGGGTAAGTCTAGTACTAAGAGAGAAAACTAGCCTTATATCTAAGATAACAGCTTCCCCCAGTGAGTGTGTGCTGGGCCTGAGCTGACTGGCATCAGGGACAGCCTGGCCTCTTCTATGTTGCCTCTCTTAGCCTCTTCTCTGTGGGAGGAGGTAGTGGGGAAGGGGAGCTGCTTCCATACAGTGCAGCCTTCCAGTTTGGTTTTGATCTTGGGAAGGGAAAGCCCTTTCTCCTCTTTGAAATGGCAGCCAGCAACACTTGTCTCTTCTCTCCTTCCTGCAGGCACTTCTTTTCAGAGTGCTGCCTCTTGCTGGCTCCTTCTGCTTCTGCTCTGTCCCAGTGCTGATTGGGAAGAAAGTGCACCAGTTGGTAATGGGGTCTGGAACTCTTAAAGGAGCAGCTTTATTTCTGTTGAGAATTTATTTAGAATGTTGCTTGTATGTCCTTTCCCAATCAATAGATCATTTTGATGAAAATAAAACAATTGACCATAATCTCCAGTTAAATGTTAACTGTAGATATTCATTCTATGTTTTCATAAGAATTTTCAAGCAAATCAAGCACTAATCCCTGGTGACATTTGTTATTATCAATCAAATGAAATTTGAGCATCATTTACTGAGAGCACAAAGTGTGAGGGCCATGAGTCTGAATGGGGCATTTCATGTCACCTGAAGAACAACTCATAGTCTAGGACAGAACATAAACAAGGCATACAGATAATTTGCAACCTTGCACCCACTGTTTTTAAATGTTGTAACTCCTGTAGCAGCAGACATTGACCAGTGGAATTAACATGTGGCCTATTAGCAAGCTGATTTGAGGTGTGATCTCCCTTTGGCTGTCCACTGGTTGATTTTCTGTCAATCCAATAGTGTCTGTTGAAGACTAGACATTGGGTAAAGTCCCACTGGATACAGAGATTGTAGCACCTTAGAGCTTTACTTCTGTATGTCAACAAATGTGTATTCTTCCCTTTTCAAAAAATATAAAATAAACTAAACCCAGGGTGCAAGCAATCTAAAGACAGAGCTGTGGAACTTTCTACATGGTTAGACACTGGATGGCTTCTCAGGTTCAAGGTTGTGAAAAATGTTAGATCTTGAGTAAATTACCCATTGGGGATCTCAATTCATCTGGATCAAAAGGCAAGGCTATTTGGATGATTTTGAGTGTGTGAGATGACTGAAAACAAATATTCAAATAGGAAAGGGGAAAAGAGCAGAATAAGCCAGATGACCAATAGGGTAAGTCTTCAGTTTTACAGATGGTAGAACTGAGGCTGAGAAGTTCTGTCAGTGTTGTCTATAGCTGTGCTCACTTCCAGCCCTAAGATTTGAACAGTGTGCTAATACTGCATCTTTCTTGTAAGGACAGTTAGAGAAGCAAATCAGATGACTGGACTCCAGACTGAACAAGCTTTTGTAATTCCCTATATCCCTTTCTCTTGAGTAGGTGAGGAAAGTTTTCCTTTGACGAACTGGCTAAAGGAATGGATTCATCCTTTCCTGGACTAGAAGTACAGCCTGAAAGGAGGAGAGGGGTGTGGTTAAGCCCTCCACGTGCAGAGAGACCATTCTCAAGCCAGAAGTGAGAGAAGCAGCTGGTGCGTGGGACAGTGGGCACACACCCAGCAGTTTTCCGGTTTCTCAAAAGAAAATGCAGGAGACTTTTGCTCAACACACAAGGTTGGAGGAAACTAATACTGCAACCATTTAACCCAAGGGCCATTCAAGGGGCTGCCCTTTGTCCCTCCCATTGCAGCATACTAAATCCAGGGCCTCAGCTTGTTGACCTACTGAGGGACAGGAGGATACTGCTGCACAGCAGAAATTGGTGAAGGTGACCGCCTTGTCCTCCCTAAATACATATGCCCCATGATGCGTCCCCAAGGGATGCTGAAGACGCAAAAAGTTTGATCCAGTGGTCTGAGAAGAATACCTAGGCAGGGACCACAGGCAATGGCAGCAGGGTTCTACCCCTCCCTTGGAGCAGTTTGTACATTCTTTTCTGATGGCAAACACTACATCCCAGTGGTAGGTTGGGGGTAGGGGATGTCCCATTCTGCTAGCCTACATTCTGGTCCCGTGAGACCCCCTTCTGTGTCCCTGTAACCTCCTCTGGGTCCTGGGCCAAGTCTGAGTCTTCAGCTCTGCAACTGCCCCCCATCAGCTGATCTTGACAGAATGGGGGGTGAGGGTCTGGGAGCACAGGAGGGCGAGGCTAGCCCCTGCCAGATCCACTGATGATAACGTGTCTGCTCCATGTCGCGGCTTTGAGCTGTCCAGGCTCCGCCCCCTGTGAGTGTGTAAGTGTGTGATGTTGCCTTGGCTGCCGCCTCCTGTGCAGCAGCCGCCTTTGCAGCCGCTGCTGCCGCTGCCTCCCCGGCTGGCGAGCCCCGCCACTGCCACTGCCTTACTCGCCCCCGCCTCTGCCGTCGCCACCCGCCCGCAGCCTGTTAGGCGGGCGGCCCAGGCAGCCCCAGCTCTAAGCGGCCACAGCCGCAGCCTGGGCGCGCTGGGCACGCGGGAAGCCGAGGAGCGAGTGGACCTGAGAGAGCGGTCAGGCGTTTGCCTGCCCGGTGCCATCGCCTTCGCCGTCACCGCCACTGCTCCGGAGCGCAAGACCAGATACCTCGGGCGCTCGCTGATGCTGGTGCCACTATTGCAGCCCAAGCACTTTTAACCGGGCGGGAGGGCCAGAGAGCCGCGCAGCCTACCACAGAGAGAGCCGCTCAGCTTAGAGCCGCACCGACACGCAGCGAGCAGCGACAGACGGCCGCCAGCTGCCGCCGCCTCCCGGCCACTATGGATCTATTCGACTTTTTCAGGGACTGGGACTTGGAACAGCAGTGGTAGGTGTTAAAATTTGCCTTCTCTTTTGATGAGCGGGATCCCCTAGTCTGGTCTGGGCTTTTCGCCTTTGTTAAGAGGAGCCAGAGCTGTTGTCGGGGGCGCCCCGGACACCCTCCCACTTGCTCCGAGACACCTCTAGCTTTGGCTTCAGTGACTCCTTGGTAGGGAGCTAGGATGGGGGAGGTGCAGGGACAGGGAGGGATGCTGGCAAAAGCATCCCTTTGCACTCCAAGTCTAAAGAGTTGCAGCTGGCCCATAGCAGATTCGTGCCACCCACCCGCACGACCTCATGGGCTTTTCTCTCCAGTGGCTCACTGAGTAGGATCCAGTCTGAAATGCTTTAACTTTTCAGTTATCAGTGCCTGCAGCCAGTGGCGGGAGAAAAAGCGACAGCCAGGTACCCAGAGGCCACCCTCAGCTTGCTTAGCGGCCACCGCCCACACTGTCGCCACCTCCTTCCCCACTCGGAAAAGCATGGGTCCAAAACCTTCCCTGAAGCCTATCCAACCTAAGTTCCTCTTCTTAGAGCAGCAACTTCAGGAGCCATTGAACTAGGGACCTCAGGCCCAGCTGGCTTTAGCAGGGTTTCACGATGAAGGGTGTTTGAAGTTGGCCCCCAAAGTCTGTAGCTCTCAAGTCAATGCACATTTAATTAGCCTCTGAACCCCTGTTGGCCTCCCAGTGGGAGGCAGCCTTAGGTTTGTGTAATGGGCACACAGCTAGAATTCCATGGTTTGGCAAAATATCCTAAAGATGCAGTGGAGAGCTCTTTAAAGATGGTGCAAAGGTGACTGGGGGAGGGGGTCAGAAAGTTGTTCCTCTGTGTGGTGTGCAAGCGCGCATACGTACTGATCCTCGGATCTATTAACTTTAGAAAAACTTCACCCTTTACTACAAAAGTCATCGTCCTTTGTCACATTTTTTTTTTATTTCCCCCCAAGCCCAAGTATTTAGATGAGGAGAGAGGCAGGCGTGACTTTGGCACTCTTAGCTCTTGCCCTTTAAATGGAGTGAGAATAATCTGTAGTGCCCACCAACAGTTTGAAATCTTTTGCAGTGTTTCAAACTACCAGCTGCTGGCTATGAATGCTGTGCATTTTTTTTTTTTTGCAGGGATTTCCATTGTAAGTGCCATGTTTTAGGCAATTTCCTTCTTTAAAAAGGGTCAGATGCTTGGCCAATAGCTTCATTATGCCACTCATGACTGGTTCAGTTGCAAACCCGATACCTTACATTTTATTTTATAGCAATTCTAAGTAAATATTTGAATATATCAATATTAATCTATAGATATTTTCAAAACTGTGGAATTTTGGCAGCTGTGAGGAACACATCTTACAACTAAAGAATCTATTCTTAATTAAAAGTAAAAAAAAATCATGAAATTATTGCTCAATTTAATACTGTATTCCTGTATACAACGTTTACTCTGCTATAGTAATTTATTTTACGGACAACTGATAACCACAGCACTATTATTTGCATGCAATTTGTCTAATATGTGCTTTGGGTAACACTTAATTTAACAGACATTGTTATATTTGACTTCAGGGGTTAGCTGAAATTTTCAACATATACTAGGCATTAGGTTTCAGAATGCACAGACACATATATGTTATTGTTTTAATCCAGTTGAATATTACACATGCATTGTTGAATATTTAAAGGGTATGTGAATCTTTCTGCCTAATTTCTGTTTTTCAGGAACATGTGTCACTGTTTCTCCTTTAGAGGTGCTATCTATTCTTAAGGAAAATACAAAACCATTTTCCTCTTGATCTTTAACTATGGCACATCCATTTTAGAGCATGCCGACTGATTTGACTATTTGGTTGATGTGATGGAAAATACTGATGAAATGGTATAACATATCTGCATAAATAAACCTGCCTTCTCCTTCTGTATCCATGATCCAGGACAATTTCTCCTTCTCATTGCTTGGTTATGAAGGACAAATTTTCTTATGAATCTGTGTCTATAAATATTTGTGATGTGGTTGTACTTCTGTATTTTAAGCACCTATATATATAGAGAAAAGAAACACAAATATGACCATGGTGTATGAACTTAGAAGCTTCTTATTATTCTTAAGGATAATCTATATATCCTTCAAAAGGCTTTGGACATCATGAGAATACCAGTTATATGTTTGTTATATGTTTTCTTCCATTTTGTGAAAATAACTAGAGGCTTAAAATGACAATAAGCACTACCCCAAATATGTAGAAGACAGACAAGAGGAAAAGGCATAAAAGTTAAGGAGCTCATTTGCATTAAACCTATTCACTTGTGGAACAGCCAACTTGGAACTATTTCTATGATACCTCTACCTAGATATCTATCAATAAATGCATCAGGAGAGGTATAAAAAATAAATAAAAACAACTCATTTTCCTAAGCTTAATGAAAAATGGCTGCACATAAGTGTGTATATGCATTATTTACGAACACTTGGCTATGGTAAATAAAAAATGAGTGCCCATTGATAAACATAAACTGTGTTAGGACAAACGTGCACTCAAAAGATGGAGTATAAATGATGCTGCGATGTGCAGGAATGTGGAGTATCTGGGAGTGTTCATATGCCTTACAGAATGTATCACTGGATTTTACAAACTACATTAGTATCTTAATGGGTCATGCTCTAGAGTTCATTAAAGGGCAAAAGCTCAAGTTCTTTAGGATTTCTGGATTCATGAGCAATATTCACCTGAGTTGGAATTTAATATGAATCATTCTGTGAAATGAAAGGAAAGGAAAGCACAGATGTTTGTGCCTGCCAAATATATTATCTTATCTTTTTTTTTTTTTTTTTTTTTTTTTTTTTTTTTTTTTTTTTTTTTTTTGGTTTTTCGAGACAGGGTTTCTCTGTGTAGCTTTGCGCCTTTCCTGGAACTCACTTGGTAGCCCAGGCTGGCCTTGAACTCACAGAGATCCACCTGGCTCTGCCTCCCGAGTGCTGGGATTAAAGGCGTGCGCCACCACCGCCCGGCTTATCTTATCTTTTGAAAAGAAGGAATAGAGAGATGAGGGGAAGAAGAATAGTTCATGCTTTAAATCATTGCATAGATTTGCCCTTGTTAATAAAGTAAATTAATTCTTAAGGAATCTGGAGATCATGTCACTAGATTTGAACTTCTTTATCAGCAACGACAAAGTCATTAATATAAATGTAAAAGCTTACAAATTATACAGGTTTTTCTATCCCATAAGCACCTACCTCCATAGTATTAAGTGATGCTTTGTGGCATGTCAAATTTCTTTTTGTGAGACAATTACCTTTTTTTAAAAAAGAAAATGTTGGGGGGGGGGAATATAAAGAAACGAATTTTAAGAACAGAAAAGTGAAAAGTCCCATGATAGCAAATCCCCAATATTAAAAATCCCAGGGTATTATGTTGTTAGTGATTTTGACAGTGGCCTGATTTTCACTGCAAAGGCCTGCATCAGTTGTTTGTAGATTTTATGTGGTGTCTCACAAGTAGCCTAATTAGAGACAAGCTTGCAAATGGGCATTTATACAGGAAGAGACTTAAACTCACTAAACTGTTATATAAATAGAAAGTTCAAAGGTCTATGTGAGGCTGTCAAGGCTGAGAAGGGGCCATGTGCCAGCCAGGCTTCTTCTATTTGGATGAAGGCATCCCCCAGGGCCTGCTCCACTAGCTAACACTTTCCCAAGTTTTCTGGACATCGTGGAGGCTGGAGGAGGGGACCTGCTTTTCAGACAAAAGTGAACTGTTCCAGCTCCAGCCATGCATGGCCTATACCACAGAAGCCCATCTGCCTCCACCCATTCCCATGTTCCACACAGGTCCTCTGGGGCTTCCTTAGCTATAGTCTACCAGAAGAATGGAACAGGACTGTTTGTGGATAGAAAAGTGTGGGAAATAGGGAGTACAACCTTCATCATGCTGGGGCTACTGGATCAGCACTGGGATGGGGAGGTCTCTCATTTTCTTTAAGGCCTAGACGTTAACAAGACTTCTGTTCTCTGCTGTCATCCATTGATGTTTTTCTCTTTATACTCTGTGGTGCATTAAAAAGAAACTCACTATAGTTGGTGTTTTTACCTAATGTGATATGCATTCTCTAGTATGCTTGAGTATTCACTCATCAAATCATTTTAGATACAGTGTTTTAAGGAAATATATGAGAAGGAGAGATTGAAAGTGGTAATACTTTCTATTGACAAGATCCCCTCTACAACATCTGGATATCTCTGCAAAGAATTAAAGCTGTCTCAGTAAATCTTAAAAGTTACATCTATTGAACAAAGAAGAAACTTATTTTATGTTAAAAATCAGTTCAATGATACATGAATTTTTTTGCTTATGGTTCAGTTGAGCATTTAACAACTTTAAAATACACAAATCAAGATAGAAAATGACTGCCTCAAAAGTGAATTAGTCATTATAGACATTCACGACCTTCCAAATATTTAAACATTTTACAGATGAATAAAATTATATTGTATTCAAAAATGTTAATTAATGTTAGATAGAAATGACTTAAATGTGTTGAACCATTATTTTATGTTCATTGTTATTAAATGTGACTATTTCTTGTGTGTCATATTTGCACATATTTAACATAATTTTAAAATTCTAAAAAATCCAATGAAATGGTCATCTGTAGAACAATAAAGAAGCTGCTTCCTTAAGAACTTGTAACTAGGTCATACTTCAAAGGGGTCAAACGTCATGTACCAGATTAACTTCTCATGTAGACAAAACAGTTCAGTGATTACATTTTTCCCTTAAAATTTTGTCTTTTTGTGGTTGCTATGAGATAGAGGAAGAGCAACTTACAAAACAACATATTCACTGACAAGTGCAAAAACTGTGTGCTGCAGATTAACGAAGTCAAGAATTGAACTTGAAGAAATTATTTTGAGGACATGCACAAGTGCAAACATTTGTGTGTGTGTGTGTGTGTGTGTGTGTGTGTGTGTGTGTGTGTGTGTGTGTGTGTTTCAGCTGCAATAGAACTTAGATTC